CTTGCCTATTCGGTTCTCCTTGAATTTCCGAATGCAAGAATATTTTACTTGTCAAATCAACATGAGCTCATAAAAATTGTAGACGCTTTGAGCAGACCAGAAGTCCTTGATGTGGAAACTCTGCCAAAAGAGTACTACAACCCTAAGGCTAACTTTTCATCAGAAATGAACGCTTTGGAAATAAAGCAAGCTCGAACAACCGTTGATCGGTCGGTCATTGAAAAAGACCAAGACAGTGATCCGATTGTGTCGACACTAAAAAATAATGTCCGAAAATCCCCTCGGAAATTTCCTGAATATACAGTAAGAAATAATCTCTTGTATCGAAAGACAAAAGATCGAATGAGAGATCTGGTAGTCGTCCCGAAAAAGAGTGCCGAGGATTTGGTAAATTATTACCATGTTGTAACGGGACATGCAGGGCGTCAGGTTCTTGAAGACCGACTAAAAGAGAACCCCTATGGATTTATAACAGGAACAATTTAATCGTAAAATCAGTGCGGAGTTGCCTCCTCTGCCTAATACGATGTCCGGAAAAATTCATACGCCCTAAACCGAGTGAGTACAAAAGAATCATTCCGAGTCTAGCTCCCTATAAACACGTCGGAATCGATTGCATTGAGGTGAAAGTAGACGATCGAACTGCTGTCTTCTTAACAGCAACAGATCATTTCAGCTTGAAAGTTCACGTAGAACGCATCAAAAATAAGGCAGTGGAGCACATGGTGCAAGCCTTAATGATTTTCTGTAGTGAACACAGCATTTGCTCGTGGGGCCAACTCACCTCCGATAACGGATCAGAATTCGTTAACAGATGTATAAAAGAAGTTTATCAAAAACTCAATATTTCTCACTCAAAAACTTCATGCTATAATTCGTCGGGGAATCGGGCGGAACGAAGTCACCGCGACTTGCGTGGACTTCTTCGGACTCAGACATTTACATTTGATGAGGTTAACTTTACGGTCCGAATGGCTGTAGCCCTCATGAATAATCGCCCGAAAAAGCGCTAGACGGGTTAAGCCCTAATGAATGTCTCCTCGGAATTCCCCCACCCCTCTTATTCGACGATTTAGCGCTAAGTCCTCTTGAAAAGATTGATAGTAGGATTGATCGTCATATGAGTATCATGAACGATATCCACCTGAGCCTCGGGTTCAAAAAGGTTCAAGATTACCCTGTTTTGTCAGAGCCCTCAGGTGTTGACCTAAAGGAAGGCGATTTGTGTGTTGCAAAAAGTACTTCGGTAAACTTAGGTCATAGGCGAAAAAACTTAGGCCCTTTCAGAGTAGTTCGAGTTGGCTTATTTGGGAGCTTCGAACTAGAACACATACTAACGGGTTGGCGAACTACTAGAAATCAGAGGCATTTACTCAAAATCTTTCTTTCAAAAAATGATGAAAAACTGTTAAATAGTGACAACCTTTTTATTGAAAATGACTATCTGTTAAACCCTTTATTTCAGCCAAAGGAAATTGCAAAATCGCCACTTGAACTGGCTGGCGAGTCGCTGACAGAAGACGAAACACACAGCTACAATTTACGAAGCAAAAATGCGAATAAGTAAAGTTGCAATTTGTTTCACAATTATTACTAACACGATCGCTTTTTCAAATGTGTTTATTACTAATCACACAAAAACAGCTTACTACATTAATGGAGAGGACACCAAGGAAATCGCACTATCCGTGAGCCCAGCGCCAATCACAGAAAAATTCGACTTCCCCAACTGTTACAATACCACGATTAATATTACTGAACACGAAGTCGACCAGTTGAACTGGATGGTCGCGGATTGGTTAGGAATTCAATATCAACCAATTAATGACTTTCAAATTCGAAACGGGCGATTTTTCTTTTCCCCAGATGTCGAAAAATCGAACCTACAAAAGTATATATAACTGCAGGATCACAAACTAAAACCAAAACTAACATTCTTTATCAACAAAAAGTTATAAATGATAATTACCAATCATCCCAACGCTTTTGTCAACTTAGAGGGGATGGAACCAATTGTCATATACACTTGAAATGTCTTCAATGCCGAATCAAGTTCTCATTCTCGGTAATTTATTTTTGAAAAATGAGTTTATTTGGACAAAAGCACTTTTCGATGGTAAACCAGTCGAGGTAAATGAAGTCGATATATTAAGCTCCAAGTTTAGAGCAATGAGTGCAAAAATCGAAAATTCACTTACCGACAGCACTGAAAATAAAAAACACTTTTTCACTTTCACCGTAAGTTTCAAAAGTTTGAAGATTAAAACCAGTATGGTCGACGGTAAAAGTGTGAAAATCAATGAAGACTGTACCAAGCTAGAAATCGCGCAAATATGCCCAATATTCAACAACGAAAGGAAAAGACGCCAAGCGATGCTTCTCGGAGTAACAGCACTCCTCAGTGGCGTGATAGGAGCAGAAACCAGCTCGTTGTTCCATTCATCTGATTCGGTCGCGAGGTTTGATGCAGAAGCAGCAAGAATAAAAGAAACAGATCTTGTATCCGCTAAAACTTACGGCGATATTTTGAAAAAGTTTTCAAAAATCGATGTTGCTCTAGCTACGGAAACCAGCGATCTGAACGAGTTGTATAATAAAAACTGCCGCACCAACTTCGCGCTGCTTGAAGAACACTTAGAACAAGAAATAAAAACCGCATTTCTGGAGTTTCAGGTAAAAATAAGGGCAATAATTGCGTCGTCCTTCAGCGTTTTCCCAACAGGAAAAGTAAGTTCCATTATCATAAAACACTGTTCCATGGCTAACAAAGATATGGAAGCACCTTGCGTAGACTATTACCGAAAGCACAGAGAATACCGTGGTGTGTCAGCTGTTTTAAGACCAGGAGAATATCCACGCATTCGGATACATTTTGAATACAAGGCACCTGTTTTCGCCAAATTTGACAGAACATTACGCGTTATGTCCGCACCAATTCCAATTTCACAAAACAAAGAGACAAGAACATACTTTTATCTTAACGTCAAGCACCCACAAGCTATTGCCATCTTGAATAACACAGTACTAGACTTAGAACAATGTGACGAAATATCTGAGTTTTCCAAGTCAATCTTTTGCGCAAACAGCATTCTTCTTCCGTCGAGCTTGTGTGCATCAGGTATTATCCACGGTGAAACGACAGCATGCCACACTGAAGCACTCAAAAGTAACCAACCATGCTTGTATAATACCTACAAAAATTACGTGGTAATATCACACTTTTCTCCAGTCCGCCAAATTAAAAATAACAAAGTTCGAATACCCATCCAGTTGCTTGAGAACCAAGGAGAGAACAGTAAAAATGTAACCACCTTGAAACGCACACAAGAATCGATGCAATTGATTTGCGGCACATCAACCCATTATTCACCAGCAATAACCAATCTCGATCAACCAGAAGAACTCGTAACATTACCTAAAATAGGGTTTAATCTCAGATCAAACGTTATCGATAAAAAGACACTGTTGGATAATGTTAAGATGGAAGAATTCAAAAATCTCAATTTGACTGACCTGGCAAATGACAGCAAAGCGATGGAAAAGCTCGCAGTCCAAGACATAATAGTCGGTAAACACTTGCCAATTTCTTTCAGTTCTCTAGCACTTCTCATGGTTATTGCCGGTGCTGTTTTTCTCTACATGCGAAATCGACGAAAAAATCGAGCGACAGAAGAAGTGCGCATTGTCCGGCAGGGCTCGTCGCGCGCGGTATCAATGCACCACATGCCGCGATTGGACAGCGCGCTGTAAGAAAACTTCACACCTTTGAAAATTTGTTAAACTGCGCTTCAGTTTAAATTTTCTCTTTTAATTTGCCTAAAAACTTGCGAAAAAACAAAAAATGTTTCCCTATAATTCCCTGTATAATTTCCCTGTGTAATTCCCTAACCCCCGTTTAAGTACTAAAAATTTTATTCATTGGAAAGGAGGCAATGCGTCCAAGTTCAGCGTTCAAAAAGAGTCTAACCGGCGCTTCCGGTTGAAAGTATTGAAAAGACCAAAAAGAGAGAATGTTTCTCCAACAAGCTTGATTAAGCTTCTGAACTTGTGACCTAATCCAATCTTCCAAAATTCTAGGGAGGAGAAATATAGGGACTATACTCTAGCGAGTAGATACTTTCAAACATAACTGCTCAAGCCTTGAAAAGTGTTACTCTCTGTTTCCTCTTATCTCCAGAGCTCAACGCTCACCTCTTCTGAATCTGAAATAAAACGACACATTCGCCTAAAACCTCGTCTCCTGAAATCACCCCGAAATTGCAACTAGAGATTTGAATAAAGACAAGCTTAGAGATTCTAGAGAGCAGCTAGAGAGATAAACTTTAGTCTTTAATCTTTAGTCGCAGAATACTAGTCCCATTATACACTTCACTTCAAAATTCTCTGAAGTGATATTTTTAACTTCACTATACTTCACTTCAAAAATTCGAAGTCGCGAATAACTTCACTTTACTTCACTTTAAGTCAATGAAAAAGTAACTTCAATTCACTTTGAAGTTATTTTTGATGAATAAAAAATCTAGAATCGCTCATTATCAAGCAAAACTTCCCATAAATGTCTGAGTTTCTTTCAAAATGACGGTCTTCACCTCACTTCAAAATTTTGATATTGAAAAATAACTTCACTTCACTTCAATTTCAAATGAAGTTATATTTTTAACTTCACTTCACTTCACTTCATTTTCCTCAAAAATATAATCACTTCACTTCACTTCAATAAGGCAATGAAGTTATTTTTCAAAGTAACTTCACTTCAATGTTAAAGTGAAGTGATTCGGAACTCTGGTCAAGATGATCGCGTTTGAAGAAATCAAGGAATTGCCGATAAATGATGAAGCAAATTTTCAATACAGCGATGATTTTCTCAGCATGCACTGGTCCAACGAAAATGACTCGAGAGAAAACAGTAAGAAAAATCAAAATCCGCACTGATCAAAAAAGTTCAAAAGGCAATTCAAAAGAAAAATGAACTGAAAGAACAAGATCAAATTTCGATTCAGCAAATTTTTGTCATTCTTTTGACAGTTTTTCTTTGTCTCTACTCCGTTTGCTTGAAAATAATGGTAAATTGAAGAACGCGAGTCAGAATTTAAATGTATATTTTTCAGAGAACAACACTACGAAATCATCACAACCGAAAATTTGTCGCCTGATTGGTTTTCTGTAAATAAATATCAGTACAACGAACAAGATTTATCTTCGTGATCGCAAGTTAGAAATTATCATCAGTGTTCTTTCATAAAAATATGCTTTCAAACTTTTCTTCTTCGTTGAAATCGTCAAAATAATAACAAGTTTACTACAGTTTATTATGGAATTTTTGGACATCAAATTTTTGGACATTTTTTCAATTTTAAGGGGTTTTCTTGGGTCACTTTTTAAAAACGCTTGTATCAAATTTTTGGACATTTTCTGCGCCAAAATTTTTATTCTACAATGAAAAAACAGTTATTGAATAAGATTTGACATTTATTTTTATTAAAAATTTTCTTTTTATTAAACTTTTTCTTTCAGAAAGATAAAATTAAAGGTTTTTCTCTTTCCCCAAGAATATTTTTGTCTTTGGAAGAAGGAGGAAAAAGAGGATGATCGAGTTTTTCCTCAAAAAAAAAAATTTTTTTAAGCGATTTGGTTGGGACATTTTTTTTGGGAGCGTGTATCAAATTTTTGGACATTTTTGAGAAAATCATGGGATAAAAAATGTCCAAAAATTCCATAATTAACTGTATCAATAAAAGCTCAAAAAATGATTTCCGAAACGAACGAGCCGAGCTGGGACTATTCCGCAATAACAAGAAACCACATCAATACAATTATTCTATTATTTTTATCGTCTTCAAGAGAACTTTTGCACAATTATTATCATAAATTTTATACCATAAGTTGAAAATTGTAGTCGTCCTTCCGCTCACTTTATCATTCAACTTTGAGCCACAAAAATATACAAAAAAATATACGAAGACAATAATTTCTTTGGTAAAAAAGATGGTATCACTAAAAGTCTTGGAGAGAAAACCTAACATCGAAAAAGAAGATGATCGGATATTGACGCTTCTTTTTTGCGTTGTCCTGTTCGCCTTACTCCTCAATTTCTATTTTATTGGCTTCAAAATGATAAAAATGATGATGGTGAGTTTTAATGGTTCAGATTTTATTTTATATTTTTTATTTTAAGAAAGCAGAAAGCCGAAACCGAAGTCAAAATAAATCTGTTTACCGATGATTCTCTTGAATGTTACTTATGAGTCATGATCAGAAATAAGAAATAAATACAGTACTTTTTGACCACGTGGTTGCGTGCGAAATTTCATCAAGATGTGTTGGGACGAGGTTTGAGCTAGGTTGTTATCAGGGATCCCCAAGATTAGCTCACTTTACTACAAACAGCTCAAGTACTCTATCTACACGTCTAAGCTCCCTCACTTGCCCGTAGCATGAACAACGTGAATATACGTTTGTCTCTCCTGCCGACAGATGCAAACGCAGAAGGGTGACTTTTTGGGAGAAAAAACTTCTTCTGAAAAAAGGGATTGGCGACAAAAAAAAATCGACAAATTTTGCGTGGGCGGCTACTCGGCTGCTGATTCGCCGGTTTGCCGAGTCAATGCTTTTGATTGGTTGAAAATTTCCACGCAAAATTTGTCGAATTTTTTTTTGTTCGTCCCAGAAACTTCCCCGAAAAAAACAGTGAGGCGCGTCTAAAGCCGGCTAATTAAGAAGCTGTGTGCTCTTATGCAATCCCCCCTTCTCGTCCATTTTTGCTAAATACCAAAAAGGAAGTAATGACCGGATGTGAACGCGGCCGCATCATTGCCCACGTGGTTGTGTACCAGCATCCGAAATTCCATAACTTCGATGCGAACCATAATTTGCTGCTCAGCGTATTTTTCATACAAGATAATTTGGATTCATTTTCAGACTTTCTTTTTGGTAGAAAGCCGCAAAAGACGCCACGTGGGGAGAATTTGAGGCAAGGGCGGTCCAGATCCGATTCGCGATTTTCGATCCGGGGCAAGGAAATTCTACGGGAAGAAGAAAGCGCGACGCCAAATCTACCGGGGATTTGAGGAATCCAGCCTTCAAATAGGAGCTTTTTCATCTTTTCCTTTCTTAGGGATATCATCTTTCTAAAAGCTCTGCCTTTCAATTTTTGAAGATTTTGATGAAGCAAAATCCCTAGAATCCTCAAAAGAAGAGGGTCTTACAGTGCATGCTAGAATCGAGAAGCCGCTTGCGGCTTCGAGTGAACGAAAAAGAAAGCCGCGCTTTGCGCGGCTTTATCACTCTTTTGCTCGAAGCCGCAAGCGGCTTCTCGATTTTTGAGTAAGGCAAGAATGAGTGTTGAAATGAAATTTTTCTGAAAATAAACGACGCCATATGCGCTTATTTGAGTTCGACAAGATGTTTAACAAAACTGAATTTCCCGTTGATTCGTACGTATGAATAACAGGCCCAGCTGCCGCCCGGGTACTCCAAACTTGTCAAATTGCTAATTGACTTTAGATAAATAAGGGGTCGGAAATTGAGAAACTGTCAAAATCGTAACTTTCGAACTTCCGGCGAACAAATTTGACTTTCATGGGGAGAAAGAACAAGCAAGTTGTCTAAAAAGAACATAATGATTTACTTGGAAGACGAAGGCGCGCTAATTGCTTTAGTTATCCAGCTCAAGTGTTCGAAAGCGCGGGCTTCTTTGCGGTATCCGCATGCTCTTCACTTTGTCCGGATTTTTCCGAGCTCCGAGATCAAAGCAGCCTGAGCTTTGCACCTTCTTTCTTCCTCTCCGCGTCGAGTTCACGCCTCGGTGACGACACATTCTTACACCAGTAGCACTGAATGCGCTTATCAAGTGTGTTCTTGATTTCTAGAGCTCTTGAATACGGTACATATTCTAGAATATTAAGTTAATTAAGATCGAGAAGCCGCTCGCGCGGCTCAAAATTTTTTATATCTCGAAGCCGCGAGCGGCTTCTCCATTTTGGCGGATGAAAAGTTAGAGTCAAATTTCTAAAACGAACTCAATCAAAAAACAACGCCTCCATTTCGCGCAATAGAAAGAAAGAAACAAATTAATTTAAATAACCTAACATGCCATCAGAATAGTTTTCCTCGACCGGGCGAATGGCAACCCGGCAATCGAGGAGAGCAGCTTGTGAGAAAATTTCATTAACCCGAGCGCGCGGTGTGTTATCCATAGGTGGTACACATTTTTGCGCGGTGTTAATTTGAGAAACGGTCGGCTGCGAATTTCGAAATTAGGTCCCTCCTCATATGTTTTCGGGCGGAGATATACAGTTAAAAAGAAGATGAAATATCGGACGACACTGGTTTTGTCGCCGAAGGTCTCCTAATGTCTCCAAATGTCGCCGAATTTCGCGGAATGTCTCCTAATGTCGCCGAATGTCGCCGAATGTCTCCAAATGTCGCCGAATGTCGCCTAATGTCTCCTAATGTCGCCGAATGTCTCCTAATATCGTCGAATGTCGCCGAATGTAGCGAAATGTCGCTCAATGTCGCCGAATGTCTCCAAATGTCGCTGAATATAGCGGAATGTCACCAAATTAAAAAATGACAAAAATGTCGACATTTGGCGACATTACCAGGGCACCCCAAAATATCTGTCGCCAACTTGGGTAGAAATCAAAACTGCGAAACGCCAAAACCAACTTTGGCTTACGAATATTTGACTTGATGAAAGGGTCCTGTCGGGGTGCTCCAAGCGTATTTGGATTGTGTCAATGCTGACCTTTGACAAGTGATTACACGATTCAAGGGGATTAAAGATCACCGGAGTCGTCTTTTGTTTGAGATCTTGATTTGGGCTTGTCGATTTCATTTCTTGAAGTTTTGAATTAGAAAATTTAAAGCTCGAGATTTTGCAGTTTTATTTTGTTGATCGGCTTTTTCGATTGATAAATATTCATTCCAAAGCCACGGCATAGTAGCTGCTTTAGCGGATAAAGAATTCAACGGATAAATCCTTGTGAGCATTTTTAATGCGATTGTGGTGGCCTCATACCGTTTTCGCACGTGTGGCGAGACAGACAGCTGGCTGCATCTGACTTAATCTATTCCAGTGGATCATCAAAGGCACAAGGAGATGGTTCTTGTGCTTCGAAAATATCCTCAAAGAAGAGGGGGTTCTTCAAATCGCGTTTTGAATAATCAAAACAGCTTATTTAAATATGGTTGCCCCATATTCGAAGACAACTCTTAATGATCTTTCTATAATTATTAAAAACTTTTAAATTGATATCTTTTTTAAATATATAATTTTCCTTCATTCGGCGTCATTCGGAGACATTTGCCGATATTTGGAGACATTTGCCGACATTTGGTGTTATTTGCCGACATTTGGTGACATTTGCCGACATTTGGAGACATTTGCCGACATTTGCAGACATCTGGTGACATTAGGAGAGATTTGGAGACATTCGGCGACATTTATTTTCTATCGACAATAATTTCACCAGACCTTGAAGCTTCGAAATCGCCATTTTGAATTCTTTCTATTCGAAAAATATTAAAATCCTCTTTTCCAGCAGCGTCCATCCCTGCTGAGTATCTTATAAACTGGCACCACGCCCATAAATAGCCCCATAATGGGCTTCTTTGAATTATCATTGCCGGATTACCAAGCTCATCAAAAGGAATAACACTTGACCGCGTCATTATTTATTCAAAAACGAAAGAATATCTTAAAATGCGGATTATTTTAGAAATCCATATTTCTTTCATATTGGAACTTCTCCATCGAGGTATCAGCGCCTGGGTTTGAGATAAATCTGTTGCCTGAAAATAAATTTAGAAAAAGGAACGAAACTTATACTCCAGTGACCCTGGCTCCCTTATCGTTTTTATTTTGACTCGAGATTGATATTGAAGAATAAGCAATTCGCTTTAAAATTGTTATTATGCAGGAAAAGCCGGGTTAAACTATTATCCGGAAGCCGAAACAGCCTCGTGGAATTCCTCACTTTTCGGCGGTTATTAGCTTATCCACAGGTGCGACTCTTCCTACGAGATTGCCCTTTCAACTGTTCCACGAGACGCTCTGTTCACAGAACGCTCAAATCTGAGTAAAACTTATTTTCAGTTTCTTTTTCACAAAAAAATTTTGCTAAAAACCAAAATTCGCGGCTAAAAATGTTCG